TCCTCCTCCTTTACCTGCTTGATAAGATCACTTTATCTTGTTGAGAGCACAAGTTTGTGATTCTTGCTACTTTCGCTTTTATATTCTTCTCAAGGTATGAATGATTTAAATGGGGCACTTGATTAAGATCACACTGGTTGATGTATGGATTGATTGCTCTCTCTGTCTGGTTCCTGATCAGATGAGATGTAATGAGATGATGAGATGAGATGATCTGATGATGAAAAATTGGAATGAGGGGGGGAAAGCCCCTCCTTAAATAGTCTATTTTACAACCCGGCTGACTTGTGGTTCTAGCCCTAACCAATAATCTATAAATGGCCAACTTGTGGTTCTAGCCCTAACCTATAATTTGTGGTTACCCTATGCAATGAATATTGGATATGTAAGCTAAATAAGGCCAACTTGTGGTTTAAATTATGCAATAAGCATTTTGTATGCAAATAAAATTTAAATCCCAAATAACTTTTGACTGAGTGGAGCTAGCCTAGTGGTTCCAGTGAGTGACTATGGATTAAATGCCCCGTAGAATGTGATTATGCAATAATACGCCTAAGAATATATGCCATTCTACATATTGAACTGTGACTTTATGCAATTTGATACTTGAAACACAATTGGCATACTACATCCTCCCCCAACTTAATGCTGTCCGCAGCATTCCTGTTTCAAGTATCAAATTTCCCAGACTCCTGGAGTAGTACCCTAATTTTGGACATATGCACCACAATTACCCATTTAATAGACAAGCTCCACCCCCTCTTATGCCGTATAATTGAACCTTGCAACACTTCCATGACCAGTCTTTACCAAGCGTCTTACACACCAATTCCTAAATATCACTGATCCCATCAGATGTACCCAAAAGAAAACATTTCCCTTGATATCCTATCTGGTCCTAAAAACTCCTTCTTGATCCATTGTCTGTCTGATTTGAATTGTTCTTCTCTGAGTTTTCACTAAACTGGTTTTCATATATCCAACTGATTTCTTCTCAAGTAATTCATCCAACAGTAGTATCATCTATCCCCTTTAGAACTCCTTGTCCTCCCCCACGCCTGCCACGTCCAAATCAAAGGAGCCTAATGAATCTATTTCAATCTCTTTCATCTCATTGGTCCAAGGAAAAGGCCAGTGGTTGATTTATTTGAAAGAGGCCCCTCAAAAATCTCCATATGCTGAGTTCCATGGTTGTCCAAAACACCTTCAAAACACCTTTCCCCCAGCGGAATACTCCTAAGCCTCCTTCAAATAATCCCCAGTTTACCAAAAAAGGCTTTAGCCATACTACTGTTTGAATCATTACCCAAAAAAACCCATGTCTTCAATCTCCACCTGGTTAGTGCTTTCTCTTCTGTCCCCTATCCTTCAACTTGATGGTTCATGTGATCCGGTAGTTCCAATTATTCAGGAATATTTGGTGGTAATTATATTTCTTGTAAATCCTGTCTGTTCTTGCCCCAAATTTCATTCACATTGATTCTTCTCTTGAAATCACAGAAGGTTCCACTTTTACATTGTACAGCATTTTTGTGAATCCAGTTGGTTTTCTCCACATCAATTTCAGATTAAGGTCATGATGAACCCCGGTTTCCAGTTATTCCCGCATTTTTACAATAATTCCAGTTTTGGGTCATGAGGGAACATTGTCTTTTACATTTCCGACCATTTCTAGATTTCAGTTTAAGGTCATGAGGGACCCCAGGTTGGTTGATTTTTCAGTTTAAGGTCCTGAAGGACCCCCTTCAGATCGGTTGATTTTTCATTTTAAGGTCATGAAGGACCCCAGGTTGGTTGATATTCAGTTTAAGGTCATGAAGGACCCCCTTCAGATTGGTTGATTTTTCAGTTTAAGGTCATGAAGGACCCTAGGTTGGTTGATATTTCAGTTTAAGGTCATGAAGGACCCCAGATTAGTTGATTTTTCAGTTTAAGGTCATGAAGGACCCCGGTATCCAGTTACTTCTGCTTTTTTTCATATTTTCAGTTTAAGGTCATGAGAGACCACTTCAGCTGGATTTTTGTTTTTAAAAAAACCTTCTGCAGTAGCAACCCATACAGTATGCTGTATTCAAGCCTCTCTCTCCTTTTTTTCTGGTCTAAGACTCTGTTGTTAAAACTTGACAGACACAAGCCATTTCTAAACCATTTGGCTCCTAACTCAATTGTTGTCTTTCCTCTCTTCTTCAGTTGTCTGTCTTGATCATCTATATCATTTTTGGGTAGGCTAAATGCATCTCTGTTTCTGATTTTTCATTCTCTTGTTTCTCTGTCTGTTATTTGATTCTATTTGCAGTTGCTTTGTGTGTGGCTCGAACCCGCAACCTAAGAATCGCGCTATATGATCCCGATCGGAACGGCTTCAGTAACGAAATGTGTGGTAGCTTTGCTGTAGACTGGGTCAACTATGTATTTTTGCTGGGCACTGAGACTGATTGCTCCACTGCTGCTGTGCTGCTGTGCTGCTGCGATGGCTCCGATCGGACTTACTCAGACCTAACCCACAACTTGACATCAGATTTGTTTGAGTATAAGTTCAGGTTCTGAATTCTCCTGTGACCTCTCGGTTTCTGTCTGCAACCAACATGTCACTTTGCCCTCCTCTGGCAAAGTAATAAGAGCACATCCTAGTAATACAAGAAAGAAGTGAGAGCACCAAAAAAACTAAGTCGTTCGTTGGAAGCGAGATCCAGGAACTGATTGGGAACACCTTAACAAGCAACACCGATCGAGCTGGTTGATGCCGATTGTTGCACTGGAGAATAGAAAAAGCGACTTTGATCAATTTGGACAAGTGTTTGATTAAGGTAATCTAAAGTGAGCAGAACAGAAAACTAAAATATAAGATAAAAAACAAAAGATGAAAAATGAAAGAAAAGAAAAAGAAAACAAAGAAATCCCAATTGAAGATGAAATAGAGACAGATAATAAAATAAAGTTTTCTTTTATTTAAAATAATTGAGATTGAAACAGCTCTCCCCAAATGAGTAATTATACACTGCATTGCTTCCAATTTTCTCTCTATCTTGAATCTTTAGTTGGCTTCTTTGATCACATATATATATATACATTTTTTTTATATGACTGAACAAAGATAAAAATCAAATTGGTACATTAAACTTGGAGCAAATTCAACAGTGTGACTCTTGAATGTGCCCAAAAACAGGGTGTCTCTCTTTTGAAAATGGCTTGTATCCAGGTATGTTCTTTTCAGCCCATCTCAGTACTTTCTTGTCTTTATTATGTATGCTAGACCTGAGTTTATATCCAATTTGACCATATCTAGATTTCCAATTTTCTTCCCTGAAGAATGATTCTGTTCCAATATCTGCGAGGATCTGAATAAAATCCAAGTTGCTGGCTCCTCTGCCAGGTAGCTCCTGAGGCAGTTGATAGTTTCCCTTCATTTCATCATAATACCATTCTTCTAAAAATACCATTCTAAACAGCTTCAGGGGTCTTTCATACTTCCAGAAGTTGTTGGAATATTTATTATGCAAAGGTGGAACCTCCTCTTGAAGGGTCTGTTTTTGTTGAGATTCTAAATGCAGTTCTTGGAAAACATTATTCTTTAGATTTCGAAGATTGTAAGTTTCTTCTATCTTTTGTGCTTCTTCACTATTTTTTTCCACTTTCTTCTGACCAGATTTGGAATAGCTGCTCCAATCTTCTGCTTGTAGTGAATAACTACAGACCATCAACCTGAATTCCGTATCCTCAATTTGTGTTATTGAAGGGCTTGCTGACTGGAGTCTGCCTTCATCTGTTATAAAAATCTCTGGAACTTCTTCCCTGGAAAATTCTATTGGATCCACTGGGACTATCTGTGGTTCCCTGCTTTGTTTGAGTAACATATTGACTATATTCTGCAAACTCTGAATTGATTCTTCCATTTCTGCTATTTGGGCAGCTTGATTCTTCAAAATAACTGCTGATTGTTCCAAGTTGAATTCTTCTGGGGTAGACATCTTGGTTCTGGTTTGAGATCTGGAAAAAAATTCTTGAAGACCCCCGCAATTACTTCCCCTTCCTTTGACCTATGCTCTCGTTTAGTTCTTGATGTATCCTCTGTGGTGCTGGCTTCCCTGTTGTATATTTCACAAGTTTCACCTGGTGAATCCTTATTCTTTTTATTATCCACTTTATCTAGTCTTCTGGTGCTGAGGGAGATTTACTGTTGATCTTCTGAAGGTTATTTTAGGCCACTGTTGGGACACCAGATGTGAGAACTCCTTTGGGAACGGTGGCAGTCCTGCGAGGGGGAAATAGCAGATGAGATATATCACGTATGTAATGATCTACTACAACTGTTACGGCTGGTTTGAAAGACCTGCCCCTCTATTGTACTACACAAGAGTTAACACAACAATTTATTTATTGTTGTGGCAAAAACTGATGATAGAGAAAACTGTGTGTAGCAGTCTCTTATCAAACCTAGATCAACATGGATTCAGCAGACTATTTAAGTGGATGTTTAATGGGAAAAGGGTTTGTGTGGGTACCTCAGTAGGTTTGGTTCAGTTGTTGAACCCTACTACTTATAAGAGAATGCTTTTATATATATTTATGTGCTTGAAATGATTGAGTTGTGTAATGATAGTGAATGTGACTGTCTGTTGTGCTACTGATGACTAATGTGACTATTAAAGATGCTTCTCTCCTCCTCCTTTACCTGCTTGATAAGATCACTTTATCTTGTTGAGAGCACAATTTTGTGATGCTTGCTACTTTCCCTTTTATATGCTTCTCAAGGTATGAATGATTTAAATGGGACACTTGATTAAGATCACACTGGTTGATGTATGGATTGATTGCTCTCTCTGTCTGGTTCCTGATCAGATGAGATGTAATGAGATGATGGAATGAGATGATGAAAAATTGGAATGAGGGGGGAAAGCCCCTCCTTAAATAGTCTATTTTACAACCCGGCTGACTTGTGGCTCTAGCCCTAACCAATAATCTATAAATGGCCAACTTGTGGTTCTAGCCCTAACCTATAATTTGTGGTTACCCTATGCAATGAATATTGAATATGTAAGCTAAATAAGGCCAACTTGTGGTTTAAATTATGCAATAAGCATTTTGTATGCAAATAAAATTTAAATCCCAAATAACTTTTGACTGAGTGGAGCTAGCCTAGTGGTTCCAGTGAGTGACTATGGGTTAAATGCCCCGTAGAATTTGATTATGCCATAATACGCCTAAGAATATATGCCCTTCTACATATTGAACTGTAACTTCATGCAATTTGATACTTGAAACACAATTGGCATACTACAGCGGGCGAGTTGGCCCGGAAAGCGTTAGGGAACGATACGGCTCTCTCCCTCACCCTTAAAGACCTGGCGGTGTGGAACTCCTATCGTGCCAGGCGGTAGGCAGTTGGTTGAAGGGATGGTGCTTTGAGGGCTGCCTTCAAGTGGGGTCCGGATAAATTGAGCTGTGATCTGAACAAAACGCGTTGGGGTTGGTTGGTTTTCTGAGAGGAGACAACAGAAGTGGAGTTCTGTGGCGGTTGTTGAGTCTGAGTGATCTTGAGGATGTGTATGAGGATCAGAAGTATGAATGATAAGAAGATCAATAAAATTTGATGGGTCTATCTTGGATCAGATCAGAGTGCCATGCTTCCCCATCATCTCAGTTCAAACTGAACTTTGACTCTGGGGAGTGACATGTCACAGACATGTCATCACATCCCTAACTACAACACAACTCAACCAAAAAAGAAAAACAAGACCACACAACACAACACCCACAACACAACACAACACAGAACAGAACAGAACAGAACAAAACAAAACAAAACAAAACAAAACAAAACAAAATAATCAAGAGTGAAATAAACCAACATCCTGAGATGTCTTAGGACCAAGAAAATTAAACAAGACTGTCTTCTGAGTAAGTGATTTGAAAAAGATAATAAAGAATGATAAAATGATAAAATAGAAATAAAATCAAGATGAACGAAAAATAATATGAAGATAAATAATAAGAGGAAATGGAATAAAATAATAAAATGAGGAAACCGTTGGACTGAGTGGGGATTTGAGGTGATAATATTGAAATCTTGAGTCTTGAGGATATTGAAGAGTTGAAAGTTGAAATTTGAAATTCAAGCGTGGATGGGGCCTGTACCGTTTAGAACACCACAGCG